AGGAGCTCTGCCCAGATGTGGTCTGATCTTCCTCTTCTTCTTCTGTAATAAATTAACAGGAAAGGGAAGCAGCTTCTCCATAACTAAGTGTAGGCAGGAAGGTCAGAGAGACCTTGTGGCAAAAAGTCATATTTGGGTAAATTTTTCTACACCCTTCAACTATTAGGAACAATATAAGAAGTTTACTGATTACATCCAGAAGTTTGGATATATAAAGAAAGGCCAAGAATAGTAAGCTATCCTGGAGGAAAACATTGCTGTTTTAGACTTTCAAGATAAAACGTTTCTGCATCAGGCCACAACTACAGTTAGAACTAGAGGAATTATAAAAGTTACAAGATCTGACAAAAAGTTGGAGAGAGTTATTATCTCAGGCCTCTCAAGGAGAGAAAAGCTAAAAGCAGTCAGATATAAAAGTTGAACTTCTGAGATACAAGTCTGAAAAGTTTTTTTTTTTTTTTTTTCCAGTAGTTTTTATTATGGTTTTGTGGGGTACAGTTATGGGTAGGTGTACAATGACGTTTCATTCAGGCACCCTGTAGATAAGAAGTGTTTTCCCATCCCCCGACAGATATTTGCTACTGTTAATCCCATCCCCCTCCCCCCCATAGTTTCCCAGTACCATCCGTCATTTTCTCATAGTATTGCATTGGATGTTCAAGGTCCATTATATGAGTGAGAACATGTGATATTCGGATTTTTGTTTTTGTGAGAGGTCACTCAGTATTATAGACTCTAGTTCCATCCAGGTTGCAGCGAAATTCATGATTTTGTTCTTTTTTATGGCTGCGTAGTATTCCATCGTGTATATGTACCACATTTTTTTAATCCAGTCCTCTTTTGATGGGCAGCATGGTTGTTTCCAGGTTCTTGCTATTGTGAACAATGCTGCGATAAACATACGTGTGCAGGTATCTTTTTTATAGAGTGATTTGTGTTCTTCAGGGTATATTCCCAGTAGGGGGATTGCAGGGTCATATGGAAGGTCAATTTTTAGAGCTTTTATGAAAAGTTTTAAAAAAAGAAACAGGTTATAGAATTATAAATCAAAACCTCTTGTAATTTTATTAAGGGCAAATTAATACTGTAAGAAAATCTTGTTTTAACACAGGGGAACAAAATTTAGGAAGACTATAATAAATTAATTTCCTTCCAATTATAACCAACATAATCACATACAAAATTCCTGAATCTTATTAAGACTTACAAAACCTCTATAACACGCTTGAACTTTCTGTTTTTCCCCATAATTCCCTCTTTTTTTTTTTCTGAGTTGGAGGCTCACTCTGTCGCCCAGATTGGAGTGTAGTGGCTGCTCCCGGCCACTGCAGCCTCGACCTGCTGGGCTCCGGCGATCCTTCTACCTCAGCCTTCCAAGTAGCTGGAACTACAGGTGTGCGCTACCACGCCTGGATAGTTTTTTGGATTTATTGTAGAGATGAGGTCTCGACAAGTTGCCCAGGTGGGTCTCGAACCCGCGGACTCAGGCAATCCACTCACCTCAGCCTCCCAAGGCGCGGGATTACAGGCTGAGCCACCGAGCCCGGTTTACTGGTTCCTTTCTACCTTCTTTCATAAGTTACTTTTCTAAAATAACTTGAATTAACCTTCTGAGTTAGACAAAATTATTTTTTTTTATAAAAGGGAATACGACTCATGTTTTATAATTAATTTTTAAAATCAAAAACACATCTTACTCTGACATAATTTATCTTCAGAATTATATTAACTAGAATTCTTATTCTTAGTAACCTTAAATTTTGGTTAGAACCTAGGAAGCAAGAAATTCTGAAGCATGTAAGATATTAGCATTTTACAGATAAGGATTATAATGCAATTTTAGAAATATGCTTTCCTATATCATAACTCTTTCTGAATTGAAAGTGACCTAGACATTTAATGAGTTTCTAAAATAATTTTAAGATTTAAAATACATAAAAAGCTTACCTATAAGCATTATCTCATTTATATTGACTCAGTTGATTCATTTTTAGCAGTTTGCTTAATTACTTATGAAAACTGAAAATTGGACAAAGCTAGTCATCATTTTAAGTTATTTTCTGTTAACTGTTTTTATAGCCTGTGTATATCAAGTGTTTACTTAAATAAGAATCTTAAAGTTAAATACATGGGTATTTTGCCAATAACTCAGATGATTCAACAGTTTTCATTGAATCAACAATGTTAAATCAGTTTTGCTTACCGAAAATTCATACACAGGGAGATCATTCAGTTTGGCTGGGTTTATAGTCTTATGACCTTCCTGTCAAACCCTGACACCTTAACATATCTAGCAGAGGCAAATGCAAAACTTATCTAATTAGCAGAGCCAGACAAAAATGTATGCTGACAATTTTGAAGACATTTCTATTTTATCAATAATTTTAAAATGATTTTTATTTACCAAAGATTATTAAGGTCCAGTGAACCTAGAAAGCATTTAGGTCTATTTATTTAGTTTATGAGTACTCATTTGCTTATAAGCCAATTTGATAGTATGCTAGACACAACACATAACATATACATACACATAAACACATTTAAACATACATACACAAATATAAGCACAAATTTATCTTTTACCTTGGTAATTTTAGCCATGAAATAGCAACAAACTCACTATTTTATTTTTAAAAAATGCTTAATCCAAATTATATCTTTGACAAAATTGGAACCTGTTTACATGGCTAAAGTCTGCCCCTATTGGGTAATCTAATAAAGGTGGGACAAAAATTTGGGTAGAGCACTTTCTATGGCAATTTGTTTTTAAAAACCTCTTTTAGGCCGGCTCAGTGGCTCAGCTTGTAATCCCGTGCTTTGGGAGGCCGAGGTGAGTGGATTGCCTGAGCCCGAGGGTTCGAGACCCACCTGGGCAACTTGGCAAGACCTCATCTATACAATAAATCAAAAAATTAGCCGGGCGAGGTAGCGCGCGCCTGTAGTTCCAGCTACTTGGAAGGCTAAGGTGGAAGGATCCCCGGGAGCCCAGCAGGTCGAGGCTGCGGTGGCAGGGAGCTTCCACTGCATTCCAGTCTGGGCAACAGAGTGAGACTCCAACTCAAAAAAAAAAAAAAATCTCTTTTACCAATTCTTTTCTTTTCTTTTTTCCTTTTTTATTTTGAAGTTTCAAATGAGCTTTCAAAGTTTACCTTGAAACAGTTTTATCAGCATCAGTAGATTAACAGCAGATTCAAAGCAGCCAGATAAGAAAAGAGAGAAATAGAGAGCTTAGAATACTTTATTTAACCCTATAGATGCTGGCTATCCATTTGAGCTCTGAATTTCCTTGTTATAATTTACTCAGTTTCAAAACAAATAAGCCTTAATATCTGACCAGCTGGAGTCCCATAAACCTCATGGGCAACCCAAAAGGGGTCATTTTCTTTGCCTTTCCTATCTTTTAGAGGATTTATTTCCCATTCTTTTTTTTTTTTTCCCCCAAAAGGGGGAGCTGAACTATGGCCTAGTGTTTCGCCCTATGGATCTGGAGTGTGCTGATTGTGGGCAGGACTTCACAGTGTTACATCACTGAATCGTTTCCACCCTCTTATGTGTCACAGTATTCTCTTTGGGGGTCTGTTACCTCCAAGAGGGCTCGAAATGCTGAGGGATGAGCTCTCAAATGCATTTCCTGGACAAGCCTTTTAAAAATTAATTTTGTTGAAGAATTCCCTGTAGAGTCACTGCACGTCATGGGAGTCACAGTGTCTGCACAGAGACACTCTCACTGCGCCCCCAGTCACCTAGGGGTGCCTTTCCGCTGGGAGGACACACCCTCCCTTTTCTCTTTGGAGCTGAGCAAGTCAGTCTCATTTACCTACCAAAATGACAGTTCGATCAAATGGGCAGATAAGTCAATCAGGTTTACTTTTTCTTTAGGGATGGGAGAAAAGGCAATGGGGAGGGCCCTTTAGAATGCACTTCAGAACCAAATCTTTGGATCTCAAACTATTTCCTAGTAATTAAAAACCATTTTAGCCGGCTCGGTGGCTCAGCCTGTAATCCCGCGCCTTTGGGAGGCTGAGGTGAGTGGATTGCCTGAGCCGCGGGTTCGAGACCCGCCTGGGCAACTTGGTGAGACCTCATCTCTAAAATAAATCAAAAATCAGCCGGGCGTGGTAGCGCATACCTGTAATTCCGGCTACTCGGAAGGCTGAGGCGGAAGGATCACTGAAGCCACTGCACTCCAGTCTGGGCGACAGAATGAGACTCCAACTCAAAAAAACCCCAAAAAAACCATTTTAGAATAAACCAGAGACCATCAACCTAAAGCAGGAGGTCTGAAGCAGAAACTTACCAGGACCACCTGAGGAGAAGCACGAAGTTGGTGGGCCAGCAATGGGCCCCTGCTGGTACCTAGCTCTGGGTTCCAGCAACTCATCTGGTGTCCCTGAAGTCTTCTGTGAGGTCTCAAGTCTTTGGGCACCAATTTGTTGATGAAAAGATCCCAGACTCTGTAAAATATTTTAAGATAGTTTACTCTTGAGCCAAACTTGAAATCTTAAGCCAGGCACACATTCTCAGGACCTCCTGAGGATGGGTGTACCCCGGCTTAAAGATTATCAATTTATTTGATTATCAGAGAAAAAAATACTCAATGAGAAGAGGACTGTGTTTATTTAAAAGATAAATACATGCACAATAAAAGTTTGTCTTTGGTATGTTAATATAAAAAAAATTAGGTCCCAAAATTATATTTATCATTTTGGGCACTATAATGCAGATTTTAAGTAATTGGCTCCCTTTATGATGTTAACTACATTGTCAAGGAGATTTCACCAAAATAACTACTACAAATACATAGGAATGCAAATTTTAGTAAAGACAATCCTTAATTTAAATTATTTAAATAATCCCACTTATGTTGGTGCCAATCTCAAAGGGATCTGATGATTTTTTTAAAAATTCAGATGAAAAATGCTTCTGACTTTCATATTTATTGTAGCATTTCGACCTAGTTATGGTCTTTTTCTCCCTCCCAATCCCGCTTCTGCCACAAGACCTTGCATGGACCTCAGTACAGCACAATGGCTCCCTCCTGGTCAGAGTCAAAAGCTTGCACGGAGATAGCCCTCGTCCTGTGTTTTTCAAGTACACGGCCAGCATGGACCAGCTCCAGGCCCTAATAGACCACGCAGATCACTGCCAACAGGAGCTGGCTTTCCACTGCAGGAAGTCCAGGCTCTCAGCTCGCCGTGGTAAGTCATCAGCCACCATAGACTTTAGTTTCAGAGAGGTTGCAGCAGCCTGCCACAGATTCTTGAGACTCCTGTGTCCACAGCACCTGGAAATGACAGAGACGTTTTTCTGTGGGGCCAAGAGTAAGGTTCATATTTGCTTCTCTTTTCTCAAAGCTGTGAATGAGCTGAAGTTTCTTCCTAGACTCAGTTGAGCAAGGGAACAACACAATATCATTGGAATGCAGCGTCCCTCCGACCATGAAGGGCGGCAACACCTTAATTGTGTTTTATATCAGAAAAGATTGCTAACAATATGACTTTGTTTTGATTATTCCATGAGATTATTTTTCATACTGAATGCAATTAATGTCTTGGATAATTGAGAATTAGGGGTCAGTGTTGGTATCATACCGTTCTTTTAGGACACAAGACAGCATAACTCTGCTAATAGTTGATATTTTATTTTTAGTCCACTCTTTCAAAATTCAGTTTTTGGTTTTGTAATTCTTCCCTTTGAAATAATTTATTTCATTGAAATGTCCAACCTTGCTGCCTTCATGAAACCCCTTTGGTTTCCTGGAGACCAATCTGCCTCTTCTCTGATCAGGCCTCTGGGAGAAGTAGACTGAACACACTGTGGTAGGCTGGCTTCTCTGAGTTCTAATTCTAAGCCTGTCACTCAGCAGCTGTGGACTTGGAAATTGTTTGATCTTTCTGAATCTTCAGAACTGAGACTTTAACTTTGCCAAAACTTAATTGCACAACATGTAGAAAATGTGTGAAATAGATGCTATTTATTTACAACTATTCTGTTTACTGAGTTCATAGTTAGTGCTAGAGCATTTGGAATAATTTATTGATAGTTGATTGCTGCCAAAGAGATCACTGAAGTAAGATCATATGTTCCCAGGCAAATGAGGAAATCTGCTTTGGAAGAGTAAATCAGTGCTATGGAGCAATGTGAGTTGGGTTTTTTAACCAGAAAAAAACAGTTAAAGGAGTTTTGGGTTCAGCTGCTAACAAAGTCAGAGCTAGTGAGTCAGGGAGTAAAGTGCATATCTACTAAGCATATGGGCTCCTCCAGAACCTGGACACAGCTCAAGTAAGTAAAGAATTCTGGTTGAAAGCCCAGTGTTTACTATTGATTTGCAAATGATAACTTGATTGTCATTCCTTCTGTGTAAATATTTAAAACAGCAACAGCAAAACAAAACAAAAACAAACAAACAAGTATTTACTTGGGCTTAGGGGAAAAGATGGAAAGAGAAAAGAACTTTAAACTTGTTAAGCACTTTCTAAAGAAACTAAATAAAGGGATTTTATTATCTACACATACTCAAATTATATTAATTACTTATACACTGCCAACAGAGAATTTTTAATACAAACTTAGACAAACTCAGTACAGACCTATGTATTTCCAGAAGCTGTTAACTAGAGCAAAGATGAAGCAGGAAAATAGTGTGACCTGATAGTTCTTAAACTTGTTGCACTAATTTGCTTTGTGTTATCAATGGATGCCCACAGGTGTGCAGAACATTGATACTACCCTTGTATGGAAGGAGTAAAAATCCAATGCCTTCAACAGGAGCCTTCATTAGAATGTTGCAGTGTGAGAATAGCAAAGATTACTACAGTGTGGAAACAAATAGCTTAAGAATTTGATAGGGTAGATTGGTGAATGCTACTCAAAATTAAGTTTAATTCCAAGAATGTTTCATTGGTCAAAATCTCAGAAGTATCAGAAAAATGATACAGAAGGTTAGGGAGAAACCACTGGGCCCTGGTCTTGTCAGGGTCGGGGAACATATTTAGTTCTTCAGCACATTTGAAGGCTCTATTATACATAGTTTCGGGAGATATGATTATGGGTGGTCTAAAAAGAAGTTATGTGATAGTAAGTGTTGATATTCTAGAGAACTGTTCAGTTGCCATGTTGTGAATGTCAAGGTCACTGAGAATTGTAGTTGTGGCTGAAGAGACAGACAAGCAACTATAGGCTGAAATATTGGGGGAGTAGTACCCTCACCTTTGATAACTCTCCTATTTTTTATTTTATTTTATTTTAGTCTCTAGCTCTTCTTTGTGTTTTCTGGATTATTCGTTATACAAATTCTGTAGGTTACTCAAAGAAATCTTGAATGCAACCAAATGCATTTTGCACCATTAAAAAAAACACTTGATGGACTGGGTGCAGTGGCTCATGCCTGCAATCCCAGCACTTTGGGAGGTGGAGGTGAGAAGATTACATGAGCCCAGGCATTGGAGACCAGCCTGGACAATTTGGTGAAACTTCGTCTCTACAATAAATCAAAAAATTAGCCAGGCCTGGTGGCACGCACATATAGTTTCAGCTTCTTGGAAGACTGAGGCAGAAGGATAGTCTGAGCCCAGCTGGTCATAGCTGCGGTGGCCATAAATGTGCCACTGCATCCTAGCCTGGGTGACAGAGTGAGATTCCAAATCAAAGCAAAAACAAAAAAACTTAATGGTTGTTATTTTGTAGAGAAAATTAGAAACTTTGATGTAAACATACAATTATGCATTTATTTATAATGATTTCTTTGCTCTTAAATGTATGAAAAATAAACGATATTTTGAAAAATATCTGTTAAGCTAAAAAGATCTTCCACTTCCTAGAGATAAGTTTTCAACACATTAAAAACAAACAAGCAAACAAAAAACCCCAAACCTGTTGAAATCCATTCTCTGCACATCTCTCACCCTCTGGGTCTGCAGAGGGTGGTACTGAATGCAGTGGATGTGCTTACAAGCTGAGACATTGTCTGCAGAAGCATCTACCTGGCAACACTAGTAAGCAGTGGGGGCTGGAAGTTAGGGAGAAGCTGGAATCCTTCCAGAGTCTTAGTGGGGGCCTGATGGTGATAACCTATGGTTTTGAAAGTGCACACTACGATGGACATCTTTGTAAAGCCAATTGATTTACTGTCACTTACATTTTCTTTCCTTCCTTGATTCTCTGTTGATGAGAGAGTGTTTCCCTTCACCCCATCTGCTTGCCTCCCCCTTTTCCAATCACCCTCCACAAGTGAGTGTGCAGTGATTCCCGGGGCCTGTCAGTGTCTTTGGCATAATGTGAGGTCCTATAGAGCTGAGGTGGCTTCTAGCTCTGTCTCTTACCGTGGCTGTCTCGAGGATGGGGCGTCATTGAAGCTGAGTGGTTCTGAGCCTAAGATTCACCTCAGACTGGAAGGTTTCTGTGTCATTTCTTAAGCTTTCAAATGAAGAGCCAAGCCATTCAGTATAAGAAAAAGCACAGGCATATGTCTCCAGCAGCTTTCAAGACAGGATAGGAATATTTTCAGCTAATAAAGTGAAGGAAGCCCACATTTCACATGGTAACAACTTCTTTCATGGCATTTTAGGATCTCAAACGGATTTTAGATTCTGTATATAAATTAGTCTGGTTACTATTTTGATGATTCTTCTAAAAATATTATTTCCAGATAAATCATATAATTGGAATCCTCAAGAGAAATTTGTGAATGCCGTGCTTGAGTGAGTTAGGGACTCCTTGCTTATTTTCTAATAAAAGAAAAAAAATGATGATAAGTTTTGAAATTAAAATATTTTTTTAAACTTGGAGTCCTCTTACACATTATCCTATTGCAGTGTTAAAATATTATTTCCAAAACAGTCTATTTTTTTTTTTAAATAGAGGGGAGTAAAGGAATGGTATGGGAGAATCAGGCAGTGGAGGTAAAAGTAGGTGTCACCTTTCTCATACTTGTCTTTCAGATGGAACCCCAGTGAGCTGGTGGGTTGGAAGAACCAATGAAACACACACTTACTGGGGAGGTTCTCTGCCTGATGCTCAGAAATGTACTTGTGGATTAGAGGGGAACTGCATTGATTCTCAATATCACTGCAACTGTGATGCTGACCGGAATGAATGGTGATTTCCATATACTTTCCCTGTGCAAACTGTAATTTCTTATTGCTTAAACTGTATTCCTTAGGCAGAGAGTGGAAAAGGCAGTACAATAAAGAGAATAAAGTATTCCCTAGAAATTAAAGAATAATCTTTGATGCATATAATATCATTAACCTGAAACCTAAAATAGCAAGATAAATGTTTCTATTTACTTGTGAATAATTACTTACGTCCATTTTGTTTTTCTGGTAAGACAAGATGAAAATACTAGATTAAAATTTCCCATTCACTGGAAGTAAGACATTAAACTTCTTAAAGTTAGGTTGACCTTTCTATTGCTGACCCAGGGTTGTTTTCTGACTGCCCTAACTTCTAGTTGTGCTATTCAATAGCCACATGGGGAAACCAGACAAGGTCTTGAGTCCAGGTAAGAGGATGCATAGAATACAACATTTTTCATACAGCTGAATGTCTCAAAAAGCTATAAACTCAAAGAAAAAGTGGAGAAGGACAAATCTTCCAGTTGGCACTACAAGTAGAAACATAGCTCCCTGAAGATTCATGTCTATAGACTTCCTCCCACATTGATTTGGAATTCAAATTTACATTACTTTCATAGTCTTCAGGTTAAATTGACATGGCCACAGGTTGGCAGTACTAATGGCCCATTGTAGAATTACGTGAAATTACTGGGGCTGCCCTCTCCTTAGTGCAGGCTTCACAAGACCACCAAGCATTAGCTTATAACCCAGTGTTACAGTACACAGGAACAGAGGACTTGGAGGCACAAAGAGTAGAATTGGATGCCTAAAATTCTTAGATAATGGAGTTATTAGAAACATAAAATAAATGTGAACTTTTTAAAGACATAAGCAAGGATTGAAGTAAACAATGGATTGAAAATAATTAGATACTATTTTTAAAAAGAAGATTGTAATTTACAAAAGAACCAAACATATTTGTAAATGAAATTGTTATTGAATATAAGTCTTGTTGGATCAGATATTAGACACATGATCAGAACTTTGGTGAAAGGAAACATACATGTAAATAAATGACATAGAATATAGCACAGAGAGAAACAATGGGAACTACAAAAGAGCTGCAGATATAGAGGAGTGGTACATAGGAGATCAAACATGATGCTTATAAAAGAAGACTGGAGATCATTAAACAGAGGCAACATTCAAATAGCTGAGAAATTTCCAGATTTGAGAAAATTTCAAGATATTAAGTAGAATAAATAAAAGTAAACCAAAGGGAGTGTAAAAAGAAGCAGAGATGAAAGAAAGATTCTTAAGGGAAAGGCATCCAGCAGACCTCTCCTTAGCAACACCCAGAGCAGGACACTCTCTTCACAGAAGATAAAATTACTGGCACACTTGAAATTTTGCTATGTTGATATTTTCAAAAGTGAGTGATTAAATGAAGATCCAAACAGATGAACACTGAAGTTTACCAACAGCAGACCTCACAGGAGGAACTTCTAAAAAATAGTTTTCAGAATGAAAGAAAATGATATTAAAAGGAGGATCTCAGATGCAAGAAGATATCAAGTTGACCCTTGAACAATGCAGGAATTAGGGGCAGTTAATCCCTCCTTCCCGCCTCGTGTGCAGTCAGAAATCCACGTATAGCTGTTTACTCTCCCAAAACTTCACCACTAGCAGCCTTCTGTTGGCCAGAAGCTTTACCTAGAACATAAACAAATGATTAACACATATTTTATATGTTATATTTATTATATACTGTATTCTTACAATGAATTAAGCTGGAGACAAAATGTTATTAAGAAAAGTATGAGGTCGGGCACAGTGGTGCAAGCCTGTAATCCCAGCACTTTGGGAGGTTGAAGAGAGAGGATTGCCTGAGCTCAGGGGTTCAAGACCAGCCTGGGCAACTTGGTGAGACCTTGTCTCTATAATAAGTCAAAAATTAGCCAGGTGTGGTGGCACATGCCTGTGGTTCCAGCTACTTGGAAGGCAAGGCAAAAGGATCGCCTGAGCCCCTAAGTCGAGTCTACGGTGGCCATAGCATGCCACTGCATTCCAGCCTAGCCAATAGAGTGAGACTCTTGACTCAAAAAAAAAGAAAAAAGAAAGGAAAAGAAAATTATGAGGAAGAGAATATATATTTACTATTCAGAAAATGGAAGTGGATTATCATGAAGGTCTTCATCCTTTCCTCTTCATGTGGAGTAGGTTGAAGAAGAGTAGGAAGAAGAAGGCTTGGTCTTGTTGTTTCAGAGGTTACAGAAGCCGAAGAGGTGCAGGTGGCCGGGGAGGTAGGACAGGTAGGCATACTTGGTGTAACTTTTGTTGAAGGAGATCTGCAAATTAGTGAACGCGTGGAGTTCAAACTGGTGTTCAAGGGCCATCTGTATTGAAGATAGAAAGAAAATCATAAACCAAGAGGGTTAAAAAATAAAAGTGGTAAATGTCAGGTATTAATAGCATATGTTATATATGCATTGTTTTATATATGTGGAATTGAAATCAATCATCTAATCTATTATTGAAAATGATTATGATTTACAAAAGAAGTAAAAGAATGTTTAGAAGTGAAGATATTATTATTGATATTTAAAACCTGCTTTATCACTATTCTTTAACATTAAATGATTTTAAATGTAATTAATTAATATTGTAATGGCAACCCCCAAAAGAATAGAAATAGAGAGACTAACATTCAAATCAGTAGAGAGAAGACTTTAAAAATGAGACTTTAAAAACTCAGTTAATCCAAAAGAAGAAAGAAAATGAGATTTTTTTTAAAAAGAGCAACATAAAACGAAATAAAAATGTGTGAGTAATCATTTAAATGACAAAATGTCATGTAAATGACAAAAAATCCAATTAAATTAATATATATACATAAAATTGAATTATAAATAAATTTATCTTGTTTACATGCCCAGAAATAAAGAATGTGAGATGGTAAGGAAAAAATGCTGACCAGTCAAAAGTAAGCAAATTTAAGATGTCCAGTTATGGGCAAAGATGTTTGCTATTCAATGATACTTTTAAATTTCAACAGAAAGACCTAACGGTTCTGAACTTGTATGTTTCTGATATAAATGACTCAAGATGTATAAAGATAAAAATTGGCAAAACTACAAGAAGAAATTTACAAATCAACCACTACAGGAAGAGAGTTAAACTTAAATCTGTTAGTTATTGGTAAGTCTATTGGACAAAAATTAGTAAGTTAGTAAGAACATAGAATATTTTAAAAATAAAATTAACTTGATTTTTAGACACATAAAACTGAAGAATACCCAATTTTCTCAAACACACATAGCATATTTTTAAGTAATCGTTACTCAATATTTCAAAAAGCAGAAGTCAAAGTATTTTATAAGCATTGTTATCATAGGGACAGTTTTCTGATTACAGTGAATAATAAAATGATAAAAATGTATATGAGGCAATTCAAAAGCACAAATTATTGGAAAGGAGGGAATAAAAGTTGTATTGTTTGTAAACAGTAAAATATTATGCTTGTCTACAAAGAAATTCCAGTGGCATATAAAAAATATTGAAATTAATGGGAATTGAGTAAAGCTACTCAATCTTAGAATAACTGGATTCCTATGAAGAATGCCTTATCATAAGAAAATGCTATAAAAAACACAAAGGCAATAAAGGTACTTTGGAATAAAGGTAACAAAAATATGCAATACTTTTATGGAAAAGACATTATAAAACTTTATTATGAGAATTTAAGACCTAAATACATGGAGATATGACACCACGGCCATGCATAAAGAAAATAAATATCCTTCCTGCAAAGGCTTTCTTTTATTTAATCCCAAACAAATGCTAAACATTTGCTTATTTTTTTGACAAGTTGATTCCAAAATTTATATGGAGAAACAATGAGGCAAGGGTAGCTAAGAGAATCCTGAAGAGGGAAACAAGGTGGGGAGACCAGTTTTATAGACACTGAGATAGATGTATTACGATGTGTCCTCATTCCAACAGGTTGGGTTTGTGATAGGGACAAGCAAACAGGACAGAGAGATTCAGTAGAGAGCTTGGGAGCCTCCAAAATACCTAATTGATGATGATGGTAATGATGATGGTAATGATGGTTCCAGTCCCTCTTTTGCCTGAACAAATATTAGAGATGAAACTTGACCCAGTATTTCTTACTGTAGCTTTCCCAACAACACAAAGTAATCAAGGCTCTGCTTTAACTAAAAAAAAAAATCTAAGCCGGGCTCGGTGGCTCAGCCTGTAATCCGCGCCTTTGGGAGGCTGAGGTGAGTGGA